TGCAGATACATCAAGAGCCACTAATATTTTAAATTTGTTAGTTTGGCGATGAGAAATTTATTTTGACCCGAATATGTCTAGTCTTTTTAACTTACAACACAGTCACCTTCATTGTAAGTGATAGCTTTTACTCAAGTGTGATTAAAAGCATTTGTTCAAAATCTCTTTTCAACGTAAGACGATTGTTGATTTTTTAAAAACTGGCTTCTGATCTGCAAGTACATATATACATTAAATTTCCAACTATTATTTCCAAATCGCAAAAGTTAAAATACAAAAATGTGCGTTTCAGAAAGAGCACAAAATTCTGGTTCTAACACATTGGAGACACTTTCTAGCAGTTCAAAAGTGAACAAACATTTTGTTTGAAAACTTTTCGATCAATTATTATTTCGCATTCGTTGTCTGTTCAAAACTGAGCTGATATGACAAAACAGGAATTGATTGTACCATTTCAATCAAGTAATTGAGAAAGTATAAGTAATTTTTTTACAGACACTTCTGCGGTCTGTATCACTCGTGCCGGTAGTTTTTACCAAATTTGATTCAGAATAACAGTTTCGCAGAGAATATAGCAATCAAAATGGAAATAATAAGAGAAAAATTTTTATTGTCAAGATGTGTCGCTAAATCATTCTGTTATTTGAAAAATATGCTTATATGAGCATTTGTTACTTGCGACACATATCGTTGTTTTACTTTTTATGGTAAAAGACAAAACACGGCATCTGAGAGAACTTTTTTAAAGGTAAATTAAAAAAAATATGAATGTTATGACCTCTTTTAAATAGTTTCATTATTGGTTGATTACGAAATGTCCATTTTTACGTTGAAATTGATGTTTATTTTGTTTTTTTTTGATACTATCAATACTAAATACTTAATACAAAAGCAAAGTATTCAAGGTACTTATTACTCGGATATAATATAGTGTTTCGCAATCGACTAGAAAAAGTCAGATACCATGGCAGAATTCTGAAAAGTAAAAAAATGTGCGTTCCTTATTTCTTGCAGCATTATTGAAAAATTGTTCATCGTCTTATATATTCTAATTATAGATGAAGCTAGGAGGTATGTCTTTCTCTTGTATTCTTATAAAGTTTGTAATTGAAATTTCTCTTTTTTTTTGTTTTAGATTTTTGATATTGTTTTTTATATGTTTTCTTCATTGATTCCTATCGGATGTACTACATTAGTTTATACATTTGTCAGGTGCTCCACAGTGAATAAATGAAATATAATGAAGTTGGTATTCTTCATTATTAAAGAATGTTCCTTTTTCTAAAATTGATTAGTAACAGAAAGAAGCATACTTTTCACAGTGAGAAAGACCAACTTTAATGTTACTATGCCACAAAATTAAACACAATGCAACAACTGCTAAATGAATATCTAAATTACGAATTTTTATCATATTAATTTCATACCGATGAGCTTAAAAAATTGCATAAAAATGATGAAACGGGCATAAAAGATGATGTATTTCAGATTCATTCATAAAAACGGACATCTTTATGAGTTTTATTCCATGATTTTGATTAGAAATCAAAGTCATTGCATTTGATTCATAAAAATATCACTGCTAATCAATGAATTTGAAATACATCAATTTTTATGTCTGTTTCATCATCCGAAGGCTATGTTTTTTTTGTGATTGTTTATACAGAATTAATGAAATTTATAAATTCTTTTACATTTTTTAAGTCCATGATTGATTCCCATATGCATATGGTAGTAAAAATTAGTTCAAAGAAGTATTTCTTAAATCTAGTCAGATATATATGTGTGCATATGTGTTATTGTTACAATATTTTTATTTTTTACAAAAACATATTTTTTTCATTACAAAATGCTGATAATAATAACTTTGTCTTTGGTTTTTATTGATCAGTTCATTGCTATGATGCTTCAATATTTAGAATAAAGTATCAACAGATACTTCGTCAATATCAATGGAAACAATTACATATTTTGATTATGTTTCAGATTTTTATTTGAAGCCTTGCGTTCGATTTTCTTTGAGAATAACAAATTTCAATATAGTCAACTCTCAAAATTCATCTGCGTGCATTATATCTTCGATTACAATAGGAACAACGAATTTATTTTCATTTTTTGTTTTACAGTAAATCTTCCATAAAAAAACAACATGTATATCAGTAAAAGAATTTTATCGTGAATCACTAAGTCTCTTTCATTGAGCATCAGTTATTTTCTCATTCGTTAAAAAAGTAATTATGATAAAGTTATTGAATTAAGCTCTACATAATAATTTTTTACAAGATTTGATCACTGAGAAAAAAGTGAGAAATTCTACGATATTTCTATTTCCAAATGAACATACGATAATTAGTAGATTAATTAAGTTTTTGAAATTATTCAATACACTGCTGTTTTTTATCGAACACTATTAACCCATTGGCTGTCGCCGACGCATATATGCGTCAAGAGTCTTGTCTTCGCAAGAACTAAAGAAGCCATTCATAATGCATGTTTTTCAAAAGTATTTGCGTAAAAATAAACTTTACGCACTATTCGCTTCCCAAATCATCATTTTATTAAGGCACGCTATAGGATTTCTCCATAGAAAAAGAAATAAATTCTCTGAAAAATCGTTTCTCGCTTCTCTTATGTCGACAGCCAAAGGGTTAATATTAAGAAAAAAAATTACATGTTGATGTATTTCTTCAATATGAGTATCTATTGGTTTACTAATAAAAAGAAATACGAAATTTTATTTTTATATTTCTTATCTTCCTTGTTTTCAAGTGTTTTTTAGGTGTCTCTCTGAGATTCGATAACAAAATTTTCGATGCATTTTAATTTTTCGCAGTTTTACAATTTTAGACGTGCAAGTACGAGATGATAGACATAAAACAAGGTCAAACGTGTATGATTTCATTAAAATAAAAATAAAGACATGTCATATATATTTTTTTTTGAAAATGTATTAATTATAATCATTGCGTAATAGATCTTAAATTGATACTTACTGGTAAAATTATAAAAAATATCTATAAATTCAAAAATAAAAAATCTTAGGAAGTTGAAATAATAAAAAGTGATGCAAAATTAATTGGACAAATATCAGTTCTTATTTATCCTTGACAGAACGGTATTAAAACATAACTTTTTTTTTATCAGTCGATTATGAAACTTCCTCCTCTTTCGCTATTTTTACTAACTGATTTTATTCGATATTCATAAAGAAAATCACGCGTGAAAAATAATCAAACACTCATACAACGAGGTTGGATTTTTCATATCGATTCATCAAATAAGTCATGTAAGCGGTATGAAATATGCTATTATGCTAATAGTACATATATTGTTGACTTACATACTAAATCTGCAGTAACTAATACTTTAAGAATTTTTTACAAATAGCAATAGTTATTTTAGGTTTTTATTAGAAAATTTTCATCAACGAATTCGTCTTGGTATAAATTTCATTTGGTTGCATCCACATCCTGAAAATATTTATTCAATTTTTTAATCAATTGTTGTTTTTCAGAAGCTTGTCGTTTTACTCGACTAATTCGATGAATCGTCATAAAAATTGCAATTCATTATGTGACTGTTTTTCTTTTTTCTCATATGATTTTCATTATGAATGCAGAACAAGAAGTTATAGAGATTTCGGAAGAGAAGAAAAATTTTTATCAGCTAATAAAAAAAGATTATTGTTTCAACATCCATTTACTAAAGAGATTTATAGTTTGATATTTTATATCGTTATTCAACATCATACAACAAGTATATACTTATTTTAAGAGAATTCTTATCTTATTCGTTAAGTTGTTTTGTCCAAAGGCGTTCATAACACATGTTATAAACATAATTACCTTTTCTCTTGAATTCTATTATCACGATAAATAAGTAAAAAAAAACACAGAAATTAAGTATCTAGAAGGTAGATGATAGTGGTGGTTAAAAGTCCATCGAATTCAACGGCTCTAGTGTTGGTAAGAGTGCAACATTATATTGGAACGAATAGTCATTGATATCATAACTGTGAAAATGCTAGTGTCATCAAACTAATATTTCTCATTGTTGTCAAAAAAACATAACACAGCAATGAGATATTTAGAAATAATTAGAAACTTGGCACAGCCTCTTAATAACAGTTAATTTCGTTTCAAGTTTATAAAATTTCACTTAACATTTTTTATGTAGATCAGTGAACATCAATCTAAGAATAGCTATAACGTTACAACCAATATCGTAGTCGCATTAATTGTATATTATCGAACAACTTCATAAGAAAAACACATTGTTTGGTATTTTCCGATCAGATGACTAATAAAAAAAATAAACGAAGAAAGAAAAAAAAACAGACGGGAGATCCTAAATATAATAAATTACAATAGAATAGAATTGTGTCACGAAAA